CTTTTATTCGGCGTTTATTGCTTTTGAGAACTATGTGGAACGACAATATCATGTTGTTATAAAAATATTTCAATCGGATGGAGGAGGTGAATTTGTTAATTCTGCATTGGCTGCTCATTTTCTTAAAACTGGTATAATTCACCATATTTCATGTCCATACACACCAGAACAAACTGGTACAGTTGAACGCAGACATCGTATAATCCGAGAATTAGGAATGTCTATGTTGTTTCACTGTCGTGCTCCATTATCTTTTTGGCTTGATGCTTTTACTACTGCTGTTTTTTTTATTAATCGATTACCATCGTCATCAATTTCTTTTGATTCGCCATTTTTTAAGCTCCATAAGAAACATCCGAATTACTCTATATTACGGGTTTTTGGATGTAAATGTTTTCCTTATACTTGGGACACTAGAAAAAAAAAATTGATCCAAAGTCTGTTCTTTGTGTTTTTTCAGGTTACAGTGATAAATATAAGGGTTACAGGTGCTATCATGTTAAAAATCGCAAATATATTATCTCCAGGCATGTGGTGTTTGATGAGGAGTGCTTTCCCTGCAAATCCATCACTAATGAGGGTATATCTAACCATGCGACACAAGTGATTGATTCCTGGCTACCTTCGTCTGTTGATGAGCTGTTGATGAGCCACCACCCACAGAGCAAAGTTCCCCAGAGCCATTATCCCTAATTCCAGTTCCATATCCATTAATTGAGACACCATCCATTGTGGGTCCTACTGTTACGGTATCTGCGTCTGAAACTGACCAATCTTCTCCCTTGATAAATCTGACTTCACCTTTGCCATCCCCATCCCCAGTTTCTGATTTTAATCCCAATTCGTCGGCTGATGTTCCCTCATCTCCACGAGTGACCCCTGCTGCTTCGATTGACTCTCCACAACAAATACCTTTGTCAGATGCGTTGCCTTCGACTTCACAATCACCTGCTCCTGCTTCATCTTCGCCAATGTCACATCCTGTTTTGTCTAATCCAGTGGCAGAGGAGGTGTCTGATGCAGATTATATTGTTCAAATTGCCCCAAGGCATTCCATGACCACTCGGTCTCAGTCTGGAATCGTTAAACCCAATCCCAGATATGCACTTGTGACTACAATGGATCCCTAGAACCCTTACAGTTCGCAAGCTTGCGTATCTGGGTGGAAACAAGCTATGAGACGAATTGGATCTGCTCTTCACATAATGAAACCTGACCTTGTCCTAGGCAACCAGGTATGAATGTAATAGTTCCAAAAGGTGAAGGCCAAACTCAAGTCTGATGGTTCACTTGACGATTGAGCTCGTTAGTGCAGAAGCGGTATCATCAAGTTGACGGCAAGATTTACAGAGACATTTTCACCCAGTTGTAACCAGTACTATCATCTAGTTTTCAAAATGCTTGTTCGACAAGGCAATACGCCAACTTTATGTGAAAAATGCGTTTTTACAGACATATATTGAATCTGTTATTATTGCTCAACCACCAGGTATGCTTGATTCTCAATAGTCCTCAGTATGTGTAAACTTCTAAAAAAAAGCTTAGACGGTGAAAACAGCTCCGCCGCCTTCGTTTGATCAGGTTTGATGATTTTTAGTCGTTTGGATTGCCGAGCTTAGCCGACCCATCTCTGTGTTTTTATTCATCTCAAGAACCATTGCACTGTTACATTTAGGTTGATGATATGCTTTTAACTTTCTTCAACGTGTAATTATGATTTGTTGAATTTTGTTTCGGATTTGCCATGGAAAGACCTAGAATTGTGCTATCATTTTTTAGGAATAGTTACGCAAACAGCGATGTCTAATCCTAAAATCCCATAAAGCATTATCTGGTTGACGTTACTTGACGTTCAAGCATAGTAAACCTATCTACACCTTGGAAAATTAAACGCCTATTGAAAAGGCTTGCTGCTTCTGTTGATTCTCATTTGTATCGTAGTATAGTTGCGCGCTTCTTCATATTTACATAAAACTATCCCTATATTTGCTTCCAGGTGAATTTGTTTCTCAGTTTATAGATCAACATGTCACATGAAAAATTTGTTCATCGGAATCTAAGTATGTTAAAGACTTTATCTTTGGATTACATTTAATTCCAATTTTGCCTTATTCAGGTTGGCTGATGCATTGGGCTGTTGTCTAGTCACTAGGCGTTCCACCAGACGGTACGCACGTTCCTGGAAAGAATAAATTTAATCTTGGTTTGCTAAAAGCAAAAAGCAACACACTGTCTCGCGTTCGAGTACCAAAGCTGAGTATAGAGCAATGGCTCATACTGCTGCAGAGCTCACCTGGCTTACATATATACTCCAAGCTTTTTCGGTTTCTATGAAAGTACCTCCTACTCTTTATTGTGATAACATAAGTGCTCTTTATCTTACTATCAATCCCTTATTCCATGCCCGAAGTAAGCATATTGAATTAGACTATCACTTTGTTAGAAAGCGAGTTGCGCAAGGTCTTCTGGTAACCAAATATATTCCTACAACTCAACAGGTTGCTGACATCTTCACCAAACCAATACACAAGTCTGCCTTGTCTATTTTTTGCAGCAAACTTTGCCTCCGACCCCGACCAAGTTTGAGGGGGGATGTTAATGATCACAGCAGTAATAAGGTGTCTTTGTGCGATCAAGTTCGTATATCAGGACCTGTTGTGGAAAATATGGAGCAATAAGGTGTTCTTGGAGAGATAAGGTTGGTTAAATATTTTCCTATTCCTCTGCTAAATAAATGATTCGTGCTCACTTGCTCTTTACTTATGATTGGTAGTATTTACACCACTATATCTGGCAGACTTGGCACTTCTATATAAGAGGAATGCTGTACATGATTTGTTTTTTAAGTGAAATAAAGTTCAAAACCTTAACAGCTACTGTTCTTCATTTCTTATTGTTCATAAATTCAGTTTTTTGTCTGGGGTCTGATCATGTTCCTTAGATGACTAATTTGCATAATTATTGGCCTGGTAATCCTTCTATGTTCAGATTCCAAGCGGCATGGTTATCCCATAAAGGAGTTTCGAATATTATTAGAAAAAACTGGAACCTTGTCAACTTGTTGTTAGCTGTTTGATGGAATTGGCAAGTAAGTTGCCATTGGAATAGAATTCCATTTAGTAATATTTTTTATCGAAAAAGGAGACTATGGGGAAAACTGAAAAGTGTTCGAATCAGGCTAGCTGCTTCTCGCACTCCTCATTTAGTAAGACTTGAAATAATATTGGTGGATGATAAAATAATTGAGACCATTGAATTAGCTTATCAACAGTACTTATACATATACTACTAAAAGAGCCTTTCTTTCTAATAATATAACTTTCAGCGAATTATGTGCTTCATGACCTAAGACAATTCTTTCACCAAACTTATCTTTTGAAATAATGTATTATTGACAAGATGAGTATAAATTTTTCTAAAGTAATTAAGCCTAATTTATTCCCTTAACTTATTTACTAGGTTTAAAAAGCTCAGATTTGAGCTTTTGGACCATTCAAGACACCAACTCTCACAAAATGGACAAAATAAACCTAATTAACCCGAAGTCAATGCGCGTGAACTTAACTACCGACATAAGGCGCTTGAATTTACCCATAAAGCGTGTCATCCTCTTCCTTGCTCCTTTTCCTTGCTCTTCATTCTCGTTCCTGTAATTCTGGTTCTGATCTTGTTTGTCAATGTCTTTACACCAAGCTGCTTTACTCCGGCTACCCTCTCACTCCAGTTTTCAATAGCTCTCTTCCTCTTCCTTCTCTTCTTTCTTTTTCCTTTTTTTCTCATTTTTATTTTTCTTTTATCTTCTTCACACGACTCATGATCTACTGTCTTGAGGAAACCAGTAACTCAGCCATCGCTTCGCTTGGTCGCTTGAACATCGTCATGCATCGCCAATGCATCACTGATTAGTTCAAGGCATGAGTATTGTTGTATAACGGTATTTTTGGGTAACATTTTCCATTGATTTTCGAGTAACACTGTTATTAGGTATTGTTGCTACTGGATTTCGATTTGGTTAAGAATTTCCAGTTGTTGAAATCTCAAATTCTCAAATGTATTTTCTTTGAATCTTTTATCTATTTTTTTTTTATTTTTTTTCCAATTGTTATAATCAGTTTCAAATGTAGGTTTGTTAGTTTCTTTATCAAAATTTCTACTGCAATTTTTTTATCAATTATGGTTAATTTTGTAGATGTTGTTTCATTTGCTTCTTCGCTGTACTCATCTGAATTTTTATCTAACGATAGTAGTCTGTGAAATGAAAACTTGCCACATATGTGAATTTGTGTAAAGCTTGCATTTGTTCTTTAAGGAGCCTGTTGAAGTGGTTTTGGTGAATTGCTGGTGCCAGGTTTGATATATATTTTTTTGCCGTTCTTGTTGGTTTAATGGTGGTAATATATATTTTTGCCTTTGATCACGTGAATTGAACGCGCCATAACTACCAGTCAGCAGGGGTTATTTACACCTTTTATTTATAAGTTGACTTATTAAATGGGCCAGAAGCTCAAATATGAGCTTTTTAAACCTACTAAATAAGTTGGACTAAATTGGGATTAATTCCTTTTCTAAACTGGTTAATCTTAAAGGACATTTTCAACCGAATCCTATATATAATATTAAATGATACATACTATATGAACAAAAACCGTTATTTGATGAATATTTCTCCATGATTCGAGTTTAAAAATTTTAAACAGAGTGCTTATGTGAAGCAACCCATAATTTTTATCTTTTTAATTTGTTATTTAAATTTTTCGTTTTCATTTCATAAGTTTTAATTAAAAAATAATTTTGATTTTCAAAACAATACATTAGATTTTGTAAATAATTTCAATTTGGCATTAAATTAATAAATAGTTTTTGAAATAAAATTATTTTATTGTCACTTCACAAAGAATCTTAAATATTAATAATAATAACAAAAAAGAAAAAAAAAAAAAAAAAAAAAAAAGAAAGGAGATAAATCTGAAGGTGCACTTTTACTATTAACGTACATGGCATTGACAGCTGATATCAACAAGCCTGAACTGAATTTATAAACCAAAGAAGATGAAAAATCTGTAATGCATTCGCTTTATGAATTTACATTGCAGCTGCTTTTAACAAGAGCCAGCAACCTACTAAGAATTTACATTTCTCACCCTCAACCCCCCACACACCGTACATATATATATAGGGAAAAATTTTAAAAAACCATGAAAAACATTAGAGAAAGGAAAAAAGGGTTAAAAAAATGAAAACACAATCAAACTTCTGTGGTTCACTCTCCTTGTATTGCTGTATTTGCTTCCTTAAACTCACTGAAGGATAGAATCCATATCTGATTGGGTTTGGTAAGCCAAACCTGATTGCGAAGATTGCCTTCCCAGTATGAGGAACTGAAAAATTAAAAAGAACATTGCATCTACAGGGATTTCTATATATATATAATAATACTATTTTATTTTTTCCATTTGCTAGTGAGCCAAATCCTCACTTCCCACACCAACACTTGACTTGTCAATCATGCGCACATTGTATTGTTCGTATACCCTTGCCCTATTCTCTGCCCACCATTGTTCTGCTTGCTTTTCACTGAACCGCTTTCGACTGCATTTATAAACATAATTTTTAAGGGAGAAAAGAAAAATCACCAGCACAAAAAATAGTCAAAATACCACAAACAGGTTGCACCGGGAAAAAAAAAAGGGGAGAACATGGATTGCTCCCTTGCATGTGCATCTCTTAGACCCAAACAAACATGTAGGAAAAGCTATATGTATAGTAAATTTTCCTCTTAGAAGATTCAGTTTTTCAACACAATCCCCTCAAAATTTTTTGGTCCTTGAATCAGATTGAAAACAAGTACTGTCTGCGTACTTGTCATACACAACGGAAGATAAACCTCATTTGAAGTCGATAAAGGAAGAAGATGAGCTTGCAGATGCATGGAATCAAGATATTATACTCCAGTATGTTAATAAACAATCAAATTTACCACAGAAATGTATCCTCTTAAAACAACGCACCTGAAGCGTACTCGTTTAAGATCCTTGACACCTCCTGGCAGGGAGGTAAGTGTTATATATACTCCTGGCTCATCTTGCTCTACCCATTCAGCCTCATTATGTAATTCACCTTCTTTCATTCTGTTTCCATTTCTACCTGCTGCTTCTAAATGGCCTTGCTTGTTATGAGCAGAATTACGGACGCTATTGATGTTAGAGCCATTAGATTGCAATTGGCTGGTTAATCCATTCGTGTCTAGTTCTTGGGATGTTATTTGCCCATTCAGACGATCAGCAGACAAATTAGGAACATCATTGGGTGCAGGAGTCAAGCCGAATGAAGGTGATTTGATATTTCGAGCTGCTCCTACTGGTAGCCTTTCAGCCATGTCTTTTAACTATTAAAAACAAAAACCGACCATCAGAGCAAACGGGAAATGTATTCAATAGGTAAAGGATATAACTTTAATGTATATTATTATATATAATATTATATGTTAAAGATAAAACTTAACTAAAGTACAGACGAAGAAGTCAACATTTGGTTCAGAAGTCAACTATAGTTGCAGTACTACCACATCAAATTGATAGAAGGAAAATAAAAGAATTCTAATCATTGCAAGATTGTAAGCTTGGTCAAAGACACGAAAAACATTTATGAAATCCACCCCATCTAAGCGCACTTCTCAATGTTTTAAGACTCAAGATCATTAAGTCCAAACACCAATGAATATTGCATATCTAAGTGACCTTCAGTGGAAAAAAAAAAGCTACTAGTCTAAGGAACAGTATACTTAGAATGAGTAATGCTTAGAACGAGGCTAAAGTAAAGACCAAACCAGACATAAGGCACTCTGATGCAGAAGCATCTAGGGAATTTTTTATGGTTTTCTTGTTTATCTAGAATCCCTAATTAAATAAGAAATTATTAATTAATTAGGAATAGAATTCAGTTTTCCTTCTTTATTTAGGATTTGTTTTCAGTCTAGAACTACTAGCTAATTAGGATTACTTTTAATCTAGGATTAGGATTTGTCCCAACTAGTATAAATATGACACCAATTATCAGATTATGTATTCTATGATTTTTATTTCAATTCAGAATTTTAATTCTAAGGTTTTCTTTAAAACCAATCTTGTTCCAACCACAATCAACCTATTCTAACCCTAATTGTTGAGAGTTAATTGCCCTATATTCTTCCCTTGCGTTACACTCTCCACGTGCATGCATATCCATCTAAAGCACATACGCAAAAATATAAAATTTAGCATGAAATAAATATCAAATTTAGTAGCCTATAAAATAGGAAAATTTTAAATAAAAAGCACTGGAAGAAGGAATTTGAAGTAACAAGAAACTTTAGACAGTTTTATATTCTCTCCTACTTCACTACAATGACAAAATCATAAAAAAAAAAAAAAAAACCCACATGCACATGTGCATGCATGCATATCTAAAAGTATAAATGATTCATCAATTAATATGGATACTAAAGCGATGTACTCAAATTATGGAAAACCCAAAGTTTTTTCTCTCCTCGTCTCCATAGTCCATCAAACCTTAATTTTAGTTTGGGACTACCCCTATTAATTAGTTGTAGCATCCTATTTTTCACTTTTTCTTTTACTCCAGATCTTTTATTCGCTTTTAATAAACTCGAATCTACTTTCCTCTAACAGATCTGTTTTTTCCTTTGGTTTTTTGTTACTGTTGCTTTGTCTCAATATTTGGAGTTTTTTTTCCCCTTTTTTCTTGAGGGTCTAGTCTCTTCTTTCTGAGAGTTTAGCACTAAATAAATGTATGATATTCGATTTTATATGGTTGAAGAATTTTAATCTTGATTTGCATACATGTGTCTTCGATTAATGGAGCTTAGCAGTGTGACATGTTCCTCCATTGATGCTATTGACAGATGTTAACAAGAACTCATCTGTGTATGTCATACGCAACAAGTACTTGGAAAAGCAATCTAAATATAGAAGATCCAGAGAAGTTATTTTGTCGTCCAAATCAATTCAAGGACCAATTGCTACTATGAAAATTTATATTTGTTATAGGTTATATTCAAGCGAAAAATCTAATATTGTCTCTTTTAATTTTAGTTTTATTATTAAAAAGAATATGAATAATACTTTTGATTTGTTAAAAGATTAGCAAATTCTCTATTAATTATAATAGTAAGTTCTATGTATGATCTAATTGAGTATTTATAAATACTTGATATTATTATTAATGAATTATATTCTTCAAAAAAAAAAAAATAATAACTAAAGTGATTAGAAAAAAATCCATTACTTTTCTGTCGATTTATGGATGTTGCAGCATAAATTACTAACAAATGATGGTGGTCTCACTCATTATCATCGAAAATTTCTTTAGTTTTGCTTCAAATGCCCACAAACCCCACACATCGATAAGATAAAATACTTTATCAGAACAACCAGAGGCACATGCCATTCAAATCACTTTTTGAATGCAAAGCCCTCCAAGAGTAATTACATTAGAAGATTTGAATTCAATTTTAGAACCAGAAATTCCAAGTTTCATTCTCTTGCTGCAAGCTTGTATCCTCAACATGTAAGTTTCCTTTTCATCTAATTCATTTGCACTATGCATAATTGAAACAAATGTTCAGAGTAGGAAATCCACTCCACATTGAGTAGGAAATCCACTCCACATTACAAAATATTGAAAAATCAGACGAGCCAAATTTTAAAGGACCAAATAGAATATCAGCCAACCCACAATATCTTCATTCTAGTAAAAATAAAATTCAACTTACTTGGGCAGTCAGTGACTTGATGACTTCCTTTGCTGCTTTGCATTTAGCAGTCTCTTCTCCCGCAATTGCTATTGCTTCTTTCAGCTGTTTAGTTGTCCTTTCCAGCTCAACTTCCTGAAGCTGGGCTTTGCGAGTAAGGGTTTCCACCTGAGAGAAAAGCATTGATGAGTCATACAGAGGCAGAGAACCAAGAAAGTTATATATGCTAGTTAATGGTTGAAAAACTCAGGTTGCACTGCACTAAACAAAGAAATTCAGCTAAATATTTCAAATAAAGTTAACAGTTCCTACGAGATTTAAATAACATTTCTCTGAAATATTGCAACATGTATTGCTTTTGGTAAAAACAATTCAAGACCAAACTTTGTGCCAGATCTACACAACATGGCATGATATTAGCAGCCAATGAAATTAGATTCAGAAACTATAGCTAAACTGGTGAACTGCTTGCTTTGAGTCCAAGACATGACTGTGATCTTCAAATTAGTTATAATGAATGCCTAAACACTTGATCTTCAACTGGTGTTTAAGTTGTCTAGTTCTCTAGAAACTATTGGAGCTCCCATTTGATCTGCTGCTTCAAATAACAAAACCCAAAGTCCCAAACCCAACAGGACGTGATTAAACAAAAATATAAGCAAAATAAGCAACTACAAGTAATAGAAGCACTAAGGATGATACTCTTACATGTATCAAAATGCAATGTAACATCCCAATAAGTCTAGGTGATGATGCAGCCAACTAATTTCATTAGCAGTGCTTTTCTTCCTAATTTCATTAGCAATGCAACGAGGGTTTTTCTCTTTTTTATTTTTTTTTTCTCTCAACAAATCGATTCACTAAATAAAAATAAGAAAGCTTAAAGGTAATATATATATATATATATATACACACACACATATACATTGTTCTTTGCTCATTTGAATTGCTCATCTGAACAAACATTGCGCCAAAGAGAAAAGAAGGATTCTCATTAGTCCAACAGAAACCGCCACATCTTTGATACAACAACAACCCAAGCCTTAGTCCCAAACAAAACTTAGAAATTCTTTTGATTATTTCTTAATTTGACAAACACTGATGTAAATTAGTAATTTTCAATCAAAGAATAGCGCAGTCCGAGCTAGATAATTGAAAGTTCAACACATGGGGCCATTCCCCATACCCTTTGCATTCCAGGCAATTGCAATTCTGGGGTGGAGCTTTCATCTCAATTTTGCATTCTATAAGTTGTGCAGTAATTTAGCCATGGTGATTAATATATTCATAAGTAACAGGGTACTTCATATTTTCATACCACAGTCCACAATTAGTTATCCAGCAACTTCTTTTACTCATGTCTCCATCCTTTCATATCATTTACATGATGAATCATTGTTGACATGGGGAAAAAGGAATAAGGTAATGCCAATATTAAGTGGATTATACAGGCAGTTGATTGAAAGGAAGGAAAAAAAAAGTACATACCTGTGCTCTCAATTTAACAACCTCTTGGCTGAGGTTCTCATTTGTTCTTTTAGCATCATCTACAACTATTTTTGGTGAGGTTAGTCCACCCAGAGTTGGGGTTGGTGTTGTTGAGCGAGGAGGGCTAGGTCGTCTTGATATTGGTGATGTTGCTCGAGAAACAATTCGTGATCCAGGAACAGAAGCTGAGAAAAATTTCTTGGATGAACCAAACATTGGATTAAAAGATTTAGAAATATTAAGTCCTCCCCATTGGGAGCCTCCACTAGGAACAGGGGAAACACGGCTACTGTTGAACTCCAGTTTCTTGTTTCTCTTGGTTCGGTTTTCTGCTTGCTTCAAGGATTCCATTGATGAAAACCTGGCAAGTTGTGCATGAGATCTAGAGTCTAACTTGTCATCTTTATCAATGAAATCATTAAACCCATGATTGATACTACCTCTCCTACTTACAGAGGAGTGAGATGAAGCATCAGTTTCAATAGCTTTTCTCAGTTTATTAAAGCAATTATCACAGACACGATAAGGTTTGTTTGGATTTGGTGCCATGGAAGCCTTAAGAGACTTTTTGCTGCTACATGAATGACAAAAAACTAGTCCACAATTATAACAGTTGTGCCGTTTTCTTTTGAAATTAAAAAGAAGGCGGCAGCCAGAACACATAGATTGATCAACACCAGAAACCCACTTGTGAAGGCAGATAACTGCAGTAAAATTAGTGCCACAAGCAATACTTTTTACTTGCTTGTCTTTCAAGGCTTCGACCAATGATGGGAAATTTCTATCCTCAGTATCCCCATGACCTAATCGTCCATTTGCTCCCTTGCCCCACGTATAAACTTCGGTTTTTGAAGTTAAAACTGCAACATGATAAGCACCACAAGCAATCTCCTCAACAAAACTCTTGGACAGCTTTCCTTCAACAAGGGTGGGCAGCTTTCCGTCAGCATGGGGGTTTCCTAACTGCCCATATACAGGACTGCCCATTGTGTAGACGTGGCCTTTGTTAGTAAGCGCTACTGTAAGACTATGTCCACATGCAACTTGGCAAAAGTTGGGTTCAACTAGAGCAGCAACACAAGTAGGCACTAGTTTTGCTTCCTTGTCACCATGGCCAAGTCGACCTTTATCTCCATCGCCCCAAGTAAACAGCTTTCCTGAAGAACAATTGCTAGAACTAGAATTTCCAACCATAACTTCCACAACTGCAGCAGTATGCCAAACGCCACAGGCTGCTCTTACTGTGCGGAGTCCTTTAAGGGACTCCACTTCCCTTGGTAGTGAAACACTTTTCCGATCTCCATGGCCCAAAACACCAAATGTGCCATCACCAAAAGTAAACAATTGCCCAGCAGAAGTTACAACTGCTGTATGCCAGGGTCCACAAGAGATATATGAAACATGTATGCCTTCTAAGGGTCCATTCACTCTTTTTGGTACCCAGTGGCTTACTTCATTTCCATGTCCAAGAAGACCAAAATTGTAAGTGCCATCACCCCATGTGTACAAATCACCAGAAAGTGTTACAGCACATGTATGGTACTCACCACATGCCACAAGTTCAATGTTTATATTGCTGAGGGCATCAATAAGCTTCGGATGCGAAACATCAGAGTCTACACCATGCCCAAGCCTGCCTCCTGATTCCTCTCCCCAAGAAAAAATCTCCCCTTGCTTAGTAACTAAGGCAGCATGTCGTCCACCACAGGCAATATTCTGGACATCAAGTACTACAGTAGATTCTAAAGCTTTAGGCAATAAAGAATCCATTTTCACACCCAAACCACTTCCAACTCTATGAGTTCCACCACCTAGGACGCCATCTCCTGTCCCTTCTCCCCAAATGAATACATCTCCTAGGGCATCACCATCATCATGACCAGAACCTTGGCTTGATGAGCTAACAGCACTAGATAGGCTAACTCTAAAGGCATCCATTGCCATCGCCTTCATATGACCATCTACACTATCTGAGCCTCCAGATGACAAAGAATGTACTGAAGCACTAGCAGAATCTGAGGGGAAAAATCCCTTGGGAGGAACAGCATATAATATCACATCAGAAAATGCCTTATCTAGACCATTTTTAGGGGGACTTTCATATGGACTATGAAGACGAAGATGATCTCCGTCCTGAATTGAAGGCAAAGAAAAGCCCTTAAATTTGCATTTAATCAGCTAATTCAATGGAGAAAGAAGACAGTTGTGAAAGAGAGTCATACCTTCTGCAAACTGTCATTGCTACCAAATGGAGAATTCAAAGGAGAACTTCTACGAGTGTATGTCCTAGGACTATTTGCTCCAGATGGAATTCCATCACTCCTTGATTCTGTTCTCCATTTTCGATGATGACTACGTGAAATTAATGCTTTTAAACCACTAAACCATACCTCAGCCTCATCTTTATCTTTGCAGATCTGATAAAGAATGATAAGACCATAAAATTAAAATGAACTCTGAAGCATAAAAGCTACAACTCTCATTTACGAACTACACCAATGCAGGGGCAAATATCATAGATGGAAAAATCATGGCAAAAGCAAATGAAAGAATATGCACAAAAAGAAAAAATATTATTGAAAGGAACGGCTACGAAGATGGCATCCTTACCAAATCCAGAGATCTGTCATTATATATAAGGGAAAAAGACTGGTATTCCTTCTCAGGTCGGGGATATCTTTGAAAGATTGGCTGGAAATATAAGGCCAAGTCTGATAAGTACATATTGAAAAAACTGAAGAAGACAATGTTATTACAAAATTCATAGTGCAATATCTGAAGCTTTAAAGCATTATATTACAAAAGCAAATGCAGTCGCAGACAATGACATTTACAATTAGCATAGCCTTAAAAAATTTGAGTGATTTTCATGATAGTGGGGCAGGTGATCCCAGCTTAAAAAGTTTCATGATAGCAGTGGACTGACTAGAAATTCAACAAATAAGATGAATAGATGATCATGAACTGAAACTAGTGGGGCAAAATAAATCCAAATTTTTACGATTGCAATGGTCAAAACTTTGAAAAACTATGCAGACTAAAATGCAAGAGAAATTACTTAAGGCAAATATAGTTCGGTTAAGACTGTAAAAAATCACCCTATGTCGACCCCTATCTAACTAGATCACCAACACGTGAAGGCCAAAATTAGTGAATAAAGAATGCTAGGTTGTTGCATTAACTAATTTTTCTTTTTGTTTCATGAGAAAAAAAAAAAAAAAAAAAAAAAAAAAAAAAAAAAAAAAAAAAAAAAAAAAAAAAATGGGACTTGACTAGAAATTCAACAAAATAAGATGAATAGATGATCATGACTGAAACTAGTGGGGCAAAATAATCCAAATTTTTACTGATTGCAATGGTCAAAACTTTGAAAAACTATGCAGACTAAATGCCAAGAGAATATTAAACTTAAGGCAAATATATGTTCGTTAAGACTGTAAAAAATCACCCTATGTCGACCCCTATCTAACATAGATCACAACACGTGAAGCCAAAATTAGTGAAATAAAGAATGCCTAGGTTGTTGCATTAACTATTTTTTCTTTTTGTTTATGAGAAAAAAAAAAAAAAAAAAAAAAAAAAAAAAAAAAAAAAAAAAAAAAAAAAAAAAAAAAAAAAAAAAACCATCATACTGAAGCGCTCAGAGTATACATCTATGTAAAATGTGAGTTATATTGGCTTGGCCATCCAGCTCCATATCAACTCAGACAAGCTTAAAAAAATTTATTCTAATTGACATGTGAAATTTACTCAACCATATAATCGTACATATGAGCTCTGTCAAGTGAGCTAATAATGTCATATGAGTGCCATAAATGACTTTTTACCATCACTTGTAGATGAGTGACAACAGCATATTGACATTGTAAAATCAACTTGAATTGCTATATACAAGCATATGACTTTCATGGTAAGATACTTACAGTCCGTTGCCCAGATATGATTCTAGATACATGGCTTAGTCTGAGATGTTTCTCCTCTTTCCCTGAGAACCATATCAAAACTGATTCATCCTGAAAGCAAAAAAAAGAGTTGCCATTTAGAACTTCAAATAGAAAGAGTCTAATTGAAAAACAAACCAATCAGGCAATCAAAATGAATGAAAATACAGCATTGAAGATTACATAAATTAATATCCTCAAATAATTAGAATACGAAATGAATTACATAAAATAAAATTGTAAAACAAAGATATGCAGCTGGCACATGTAAAGTAACACAAGCTCACTGCCCAATGGACTTGAAAGACTTGACTCATTCTAAATAATCCACTGCATACACAAAAGTCAATAACTTTTTCATATCATTTATCATTTTATCTCATAACAATTAAATCAAATAAAACAGAGTTCACTTCTTGGGGGGTATTTTGGTTTAATAATGATAATTTGGAAATTGAACAAAACTTACATTGGAAAGACGGAAAGGGCAAAACTTTGGCTTTCCCCTTCTCCCATACTTCAGCAAATAAGCCCCCTTCTTTAGAGCAGTGATGGCCTGTTGTAAAGATCATCCAAACCTAACTTAAGCACGTTCAGCACATTTGCTGGTGGCAAATTAATTCATAGCTTAAACACTAAAACATAAAAATAGCATAATGATAAATGAAGATGGATTGATAAAATCATGCCTATTTTTTTCTTTTTTTTTGGAAGGTAGTTTATTCACAAGAAATATCTGAAAAATATTTTATAATTCTTGTAACATAAGGGAACAGACTTAAAGCACAGTAAGATAAACTGACAAAATCTTAAAACAAATTCTAATACAGTACTTATTGGAAGATATACCATCCATCTAGTCTCCTTATCAGTGTCTCAGAGAACTCCAGCAGACTACTAAATTCAGGATTCAAGTGATCTAGACTCTGATTATGAAGAAAATACTGGATATATCTCCTTGCAGATCACACAGTTAATGCCTTAACAACTGTTCCGAGTGCTTAAAGGGTTGTTGGGCTAAAAGGAAAAGGAGGACTATGTATTAACCATTTTCTCTTATCTTTCCATTATTGCTTCATCATAGCATGTTTATGCATATAAAATCCTACAGCCAAGCATAGCCTAGCTCTTTTTTTTTCATATCATTTGAAACTCTATAGCATAACTCTATCAATAATTTACATTATACATGCTGTATCAAGTCCATTAAAGACCAAAATTGATGAATAATTAGCATCCACCATGAAAGAGACTACAGTACTCTACTGATTGATCATTTACCATTTCATTTATCATTTCAGATATCAGAAATAAAACGTTTGAGGTATAATATAGAGGGAAACAGTGAGATAAACCCACAGGAACATGTAAGTATGTCAAACTAAAATAATGTGTCTATGTAATTTTTTCGTAAAATAAATTTATAAATTCATAAATATTGTTTGTTAAAAAAATGTATCTTTTGTGAGGTATGCATATTTCCAATTCTCATTTGACCTTCCATTGGATAATGCAGTGACTTTCCGACTATCAATATTACAATTATTACAGAATTAAATAATATTACATAAAAAGAAACATGTTTCAGCGAGTTCTCCTCCCTTTCCCTAATTGTCTAGAGATGCCTATTTGAAGATGGTCCATTTGCTCCTTTTAAAAAGTCCATCACACACAATATTAAGGAACATCCAGCTACATGAAGAAATGAATCCACTTCACATTTGCCCTGACCATTTGAATGTTTCTGGAAATAGAAACCACAAGGGGAAGGAGTCTCATTGGATGAGATTGGAGGTAATGACAATGCTACAACCTTTAATGTTGGCAATCTCTTACACCCATATTCACATTGGATTAACCATCCTCTTTTCTTCTGCCTTCTCCATTGTATTTATCAAACAAAATTCTGTTGACACAAGAGCTATTACTATAACACCCCACCCAACCCAAAAAAAAAAAAAAAAAAAAAAAAAAAAAAAACAAAAATTCTGTTGACACAAGAGCTATTACTATACAAACCCCACCCAACCCAGAAGAAAAACAAAAAAAAAAAAAAAAAAAAAAAAAATCTTGTAAACGCCCATGTTTAATGCTGTTCCTTTAAAAAAAAAAAAAAAAAAAAAAAAAAAAAAATCTTGTAACCCCCATGTTAATGCTTTCCTTTACAATGACTTCATCTCTTACCAATCTCAGTGCCAATTCACAGTGCACCAACAATTTCTAGCTCCTTTAATCTTTCATCAAATTCTCATTGCATATGCACTTTTGCTTTCAAATCTGGAGAAAGATTTCCCCTCCAGAGAATAAGCTTAATGATATTACCAACACTTACCAATCCCCCTTCACATAAACCACTCTGATATCTGCAATCATACACTTTGGATATCCTATTACAATTGATTTAACTCTAGCCAAGCGTTTTAGAACAAAATCATTTAAAACAAAGCACATAGATTTGGCAAAGCAAGGAATCTTATCTAACCATGACCCAGTAGCAGCCCCAAAAGGAAAATATTTCAAATATAACTGAATTCCATTTGCATCAAGTATTTCATATTTCAGACATATCATATCATCAAATAAATTATTTAACCCCAAATTTAACACTATCAATTAACTTCAGCCAAAAAAGAACGCTACCTATACATATCCTCCAACAGTTATATTAGCATTTAAATACATCCAACAATATGCAGAATTTAAAAGATTCAAAAGTTATCAACAACAATCAAAATCAAAAAATTTTCCAAATATTAAAATTAGCTAACTGAAGCATAAAAATCATTTAGTAACTTAAAATGTAAAAGAACATTGCTCATAAGCAGAAAAAAAAAAAATACCTGCTCGATGTCTCTTTCAACTGGCCCAGTCCTACTAAGATCCGCGGCCATTCTATCCGTTCGCGACATCACGAACAAAACAATAATCTACTCACCATTTTCAAGAAAACCAGACCCTTCTATTCACAATCAACACATTTAATACCCTTTTCAAACCCTAGCAAATCCACACTTGTGACCACCACAAAGATCACTGAAGTCCAACTAGTTCAATTGCAGCCAATTGACACCCAGCTAAAATCAACAGACAGCTCCTGAACTGAACACTGACCAAATAATCAAGAGCAAAGTAAAGTTCCAGTGATTTTGGAGCTGGAAAAAATGTAATTGTTTGGGTAGCCAGAAAGTGAAAGAAAATCCAGCAAACAAAACTGTATGATCTATCTGATTTCCAGTTGTCAAGTACAGAGAAGACAGAGAAAGCGTTTTAACTATGCAAGTCGAAGGAGAGAGACAATTATATTATAATAATAATAATAAGGGTATAAAAATGGAGGTAAGCCAGTGTATGGCTGAGTGAGAGAGAAGTAAATCAGAGATAGAAAAAGAGAATATAATAGGATTTTGTCAAAAAAGAAAAGGGAAAAGGAGAAATAATAAAAAAAAAAGTTAGAGAAGGAGAAGAAGGGGAAAAGAAAAAGAAAAAAAAAAAGGAAATTTTCTTAATTTTTCTTTTTCAGTTAATTTGATAATTGCATACGGATAATACTTACTGGTTAATGGTTATTACTGTTTTCGTTAAGCTCCCTGTTTGGTTTCTGAAAAACTGGTTAGAGAGAGGAAAGAGATTGGAGTGACAGAGTGAGTTCACTTTCTTTGATTTCTCTTTCTTTCCTTTTCTGTTGTTTTCTTTTTCTTTTTCTTTTTCTTTTTACAATATCAATTATTGATTATTTATACTTTCTAATTTTGGTGCAAATGAGTAATATACACTCTGTATTTTTTTTTATTTTTTTTAATAGATACTTTGACATAAAATTTGTTGCATTATATTATTTTTTTCAGAATATAATTTTTTTTTGTTAATTTGTAAAGTAAATTGTGTACATCACTGTCTAATTTGCATGATTCTTTATATTTTAAATTAATACATTTTCACTTTTCTTTTATAGTTAGTAGAACAGCTTTTCTATTTGGTTTGTTCCATTTGATTGAAACATTGTCCTTTAAAAAATTTTTATTTTGAAGGAAGATTACTCTACATGAAAAAATATAGATGTTGTTTGTGAAATTTATGGATTTTAAAATTCTATCATTTGATTGGAAAATAAAATCCAAAAAAAATTAAAAGTTTGTTTTAAAATAAAGCTAAACAATTTAAATTTTATTATTAAACAAAAACTATGTATTACCACAAAAATATTAGTTTGTAGTCTATTTTTTTGATTGAATAAAAAAATCTGATAAGTACATGAAATGTCCAAATTGATCCAAATAACCTAATAAAATAAATTACAATTAGAAGCAATATAATAAATATAATCCAATTTTATTGTTGAAGTAATAAAAAATTTAAATCAAATGAAGCTTCCATTTGTTTCTGAAAAAAAATTATTTATAAAATATTTTTAAAATATTCTAATATTCAACGTGCTTAGAAAAATAAATCAATAGAAAGTTAGTAAAAAAAAAAATAGTGTCCCTTATTGAATAAAATATTTAAATTCCATTACTCAAAATTCATTAATTTAAATAACCTCAAAAAATACATTTTAACTACAAATATACTAATTATTATATTTTTCAAGCATTTCATCTTTAATTTTTATGTCTAAACTAATAAAAAAAAAAAGTGAACCATGCAAAGGCTCTATTTATTTATGGAAATGTTTTCGAGAATATGTTTTGAATTTTCTGATATTTTGAATCCTAATAAAAAAAAATCATTTTAAAAGAATATAACTACTATTTTTAAAATTAAAAAGCAATTTTTGAATATTGATAAATTTATTGTAACCTTACAAACTTATTGGAATTCGTCGACGGAGCTCTATTCCCAGCAGCTGATTCCGCTGGTTTTGGGGCTCTCTTTGAAGATGTTGAAGGCTCTTTCACCTTGGCTATTTCCAGTTACCAAGAGAGAATAGGAGACCCTCTCTTCGCGAAACTCTAGCCTTTAGACAATGCTTGACCTTTGCTCAAGACAATCTTCCACTTAATGGCTATCTTTTTTTGGACTGCTAGTCAGTATTTTTTACTTTAAACTCTTCTAGAGTTGATAATTCTGATTTTGATTTAGTTATTGTTGATTGTAAATATATTTTAGTTCATTTATTTACTCTTAATGGCTATCTTCTAGGCATGATATTAAAATCACGTGGATTAGGAGGCAAGAGAATAAGGGAGCTCATTTATTTGCTTGAACTTCCATTAATCATTCTCACTTTCATATTTGGGACTCAATCCCAAACTTTTTGTTTAATCATTATTCTTCAAGGTAATATAAGCTCAATCTTATTCCTTTTCAAAAAACAAAAATGTATATATATTGTTCTTCAAGGTAATATTAAAGCTCAATCTGTATTCCTTTTCAAAAAACCAAGTATAAGTTTTGAACAGAAGCGATACTGGCTTCGAATAGGCAAAAAATGTATATTATATATATTATATATATATATATATATTATATTAACTAAATTCACGAGTTACTTGATTAGTGACAATTACTTATCATCATAAATTAAGGACTAATCACCGATCGCTTACTATTCCACCAACTACTGAAACATTTATTATTTTATTTCATTTTATTCTATACATTTATAATAGATTTTAGAATTGTAACGCCCCCATAGGATTTTGAATATCAAATCGATATTATTGATCGGGATATGATGGTGCTACAGAGAGAGGGGATAATATGTTTATTTAATCCGAGAAGATATTTGAGTATAATATAACTATGAACATGGATAAGTGGATTTACCGATCTATGATAGTACGGACCAGGAATCTGTGAATAGTACTATCGGTCGCGGGAGTCGGGTATTTATTTTTTGGTCCAGGAAAATAATATCTATGTGTTCAAAGTATTTTAATATTTTTAGAGTAGTGCAAACATGAATTTTTATGGGTTAGGAAAATAGAGATGATATTTTTGGAGAATTTAGAGAATTAGTGAATTAGTTGAATTATTTTGGTGTTATAATTAAGTAAGGAAATTTAAGAATTTTTTTAAGATTAAATTTGAGATTTTTATGGCAGATAAATAATATATTTGAGAATTTAATTTGAGTTATTTTGTTAAGCCATTAGATGAGATTACTTTTGCTTAATCTTAAAGCCAATCCAATTTGTGGAAAAGGGACTTTAAGACTACCCTTTAGGTTGCCTTTAATAACGTCAACTTCTCATATTGAGCAACACTTTTCTTTTTCTTCTTCTTTCCTGTACTCCATTTCAACGCCAACTTTCTCTCTTTCTTCTCTTTCTTTGTTTTTTTCACTTTTTTCTTCACTTCTACTCACTAAATCCACCAAATTTACACCATTAAACTTGATTTAAGTAAGTAATCCTAGAGAATTAAGGTTGAGAAGTGGTTCTTGGTGACTAATTTCAAGAAATTTGGAGATTCTCTACTTGAGCTAAAGGTTGGGGAAACCTTCTATCAAGGTGTAAGGCAAAGCTAAGGCTTGAGAGACTTTAATCCAAGCTTGTTTTAAGGTTAGTGTTTATAAACACAGTTACCTTACTCAAATTTTTGATTTTGTGCCTTTATGCTAGCATGTGTATATTTTGGGATTTTGTATGAAATGATTGATTTGTTGTGATTTGTTGAATTTTGGTTGCAATAACATGCTCTTGGGTGATGTTTGATGAGTAAAATGATTGATTTGTTGAACTTTGGTTGCAATAACATGCTCTTGGGTGATGTTTGATGAGTATTTAGTATGTGGTAGAACCTCTACCTTGTATATATGTCTTTCATGTTCTTTTCATGGTTAAAGTAAGCTAAATTTGGGAAAAGGTGTTATTAGGTGAGATTAAGGACTATTTTTCGATCCTTTCTACTTCCCATTTGTGTCTAAGTCCTCATAAAAGTTGTAGGTCAACTTCTTAGCTTTCCAACCCATCCTCTTGTGTCCAATTTGGATATATATAGCTCAACTTATGGCTGAAACACCCAAACTGACTCTTTGCACGATCTAGGTTATTATTGAATTATTTGAGATTAATTTATAACACTATAATGATAAGATTAGGTTCTGAGTTCTTCATAAAAGTTGTTTCCCTGTGTCTTGAGACTTCTCTCGTTCTGGATTGGTTTAATTTAAGTGTTTGGTTAAGTAGGAATTCAATAAATATTGAACTTGGTTCTGCTGAATCAGGTCTGATCTGTTGGTCTGTGTTCCTAGCTTTGTTTGCTATCTTACCAATTTATCTGGGTTGAGGTCCCTTCATAACATTTGTAGCATTTTTCGTTAGCTTTCTAATGAATCTGATTTCATTCAATTTGGAGACCCATAACTCAAGTTATGTCTTAAAAACCCAACAAAGGTCAAGGTTATTTTAATGCTGAAAAATGCCTTTGAATCATAGGTATTTGGATAAATGTATGTATGAATCATGTTGTGATGAGGTTCTTTGATTATTTGTATGTGGGATTGATTTGACCAAAATAAGATATAGTTTGAAAAATGTTATTGTAGATATGTTAAAGGATTATAAAATGGGCAAAAGTTGGTGGAAATAATGCCATGATGAGGATAGGGAAATGGATACTGGTGCCATTAAGATTATGTTTAGTATGCTTGGTTGGAGAAGGAAATTCCTCCCCCTTGGTTTTCATTAAGAGGTGGGTGTAAGCTTACTTAATTTTTTTGTTTTTTTGTTGGTATGCTATCTATATATATATGACATAATATGATTATTTTGATAATTTTTCATATGTTTAGAGTTTTAAAAAATGGTATTAAGGTGTATGTGCTTTGAATTTTAAATAAGGAAAGGTATGATTATTGTAATAAGTTTTCTTATATAAATTCATTATGACTTTAAAGAAAGTTTAAAAGAAAAGGAATTTATGAGAAATATTCTATATTAAGTTAGTAATTATGTTGAAGTATGAAGTTTTCATGAGTCACTTAAGTTCAAAATGTAAGCTTACAGATGTACGATTTATATGATTAAGAAATTTTCTATGTGAATTTAAGAACATTTTCATGAGTTAAGTTATGTTCTAAAGTAAGCATATATTATGAATTTAAGAAGACTAAAGAATAGAACAAGTTTTATGAAAGTATTATGAATTAAGAATGATTTTGATTTGAGCTCTACTATGCATGATTGAAATGTGGAATGATGAGATTGATTTGGTTATATAAGCTATGATCATTTATTTGCTAGGGTTATCCCGCCTTATAAATAGGCGGACGCGCTTATTTGTGTGATGGGGTTGCGCTTTTCATAGGCCCACAATTGTGTGATGGGGGTGGCACCTAACATAGGCCACGATTCAAATTTTCATGAGGGCTATGGAACTATTTGCTAGGTTATCAAGCCTTATAAAATTAGGCGGTACGCCGCTTATTTGATGTGAGAGGTGGCGGCTTTC